CGGTCAGTTAACCGGTCGGTCGGTCAAAGGCCTTTGACCGACCGTTGACCGACCACGACCGACCGTTACCATCCCTATTTACAACTAATCTAACGGCGTATATACAATAGGAAAACCTACCGTTCCCTCATCAAGTTTTTTTTTTTGATCAATTAAAGTGAAATCTGATATATGTAATAAAAATGCATGCTGAATTGTATGTGATTTGAGTTCAAATTACGAGAAAATTTTTTTGACCGCTTATCTATTCTAGGCCAACAATTCTCATTTTCATTCATTGGTTTATATTAGACTTTAACTAAATCTAAAGAATGATAAAGCAATATTTTGTTATAAATTGATTACTTTGCATTGTAATTCTTTTGTCCCATAAAATTTCGATTAGAAAAAAGTATTTTTTTTTGAACGCAGAGCTGATCTTCATTTGCGTCACGCAAAATAATTTTCTAAATTATAAAAAAAAATGCTAATTATGGTTAGTATGGATACTTTAAATTCATCTGTTGATGTTTATTTAATCCACGAGGGCCTGGTTCCTGCAAAAAATTAATTAATTAATTAATGAAAATTAAAAAACAATTAAACAAGATAAATATTAATGCTCAATTGCGAAATCAATCACGTTAATCACCAAGGATGACGCGGTGATACAACTACAAGATCCCAAAAAGAAATGTTTGAAAGGCAATCGTGTGAGATTTGCAAACTGCCCTTACATATATAAGTGTAACATTTGATACATGTTATTCCATACGTAGTGAGTAAGTAATCCGTAACGAGTATGACGTATCACCGATGTCTACATACATTTTTCTTTTTTTTACTGAAGTTTTTTGTGTAGGTTTATTACACGTCTCAAGAAGTTAAATGGCGTAAATTACAGAACAGAACCTGTGCATAACTATTATGCATCTTTGGCACGATATTTAAATGAGGAGTCGGTAATTAAACCTTGTAAAATAATGTAACTTATACAAGTTTGTTTATGTTCCTCAGTTTAATTTATATTACATATTTCATATTTATAGAAGCTAAGGAACGAAAAGCATTTCTAATTCAACGCGAAAAAAATGAAAATCAAAATTGAATATGCGTGAACATCAAAATGCTCAATTCCAAATATGTACTAAATTTTAATTGTAGATTAAAAAACATTTTTATTTTTTTGTAATTTTTTACTTTACTAGTAAATTAGAATACACATTATATTCTTAATTGTTGTATTAGTATAAATACATCATGCATAATATAAACCGGTGGTGTAATTGACATAAAAATCAATACCGATGGGATAAGTTATTAAATTGTTTACATAGAGGTTTATTTTATACAAATTATATTATTTTTTACAACATAATTACATAATTTTGCTCAACAAAAAAAAAAACTCTAGTCTAAATTAAATCATATCATATAATAACTTAAGTTACTTACAGCATATCTTGTAAATTCTTAAAACTTAAAAAATTCATTCGGATTTTACAACTTGAAAAACCTCATAATCTTCAAGATCGAGATGAGATTCCTCTTTGATAAATTTATTAATTCCATTATACGAAAGTGAGCCGTAGGAAACGATCTGATTGTTAATAATACCTAAATCACAACCACCACCAAAGCAAGGACCGCTGACAGGACTATAATAGATGGCCTTTTGAGGGTTGGAAACCCTGATTAACTTTGAGATTTTGGACTTTACGACGGGATTTCCATCTTTAGCACCGGATTTGTCCTTCTTTTCACCTTTGCCGAAACAGAATAAAAAGCTATTCTCGGTTTGATACATACTATTACCATTAACGCTATCATATTTGGGTTTCCAATCCAAGGGGTTATAACCACCGATCAACAAATTCTTTTTGGAGATTTTCGTAATGGTGATGGTCGGACCCTTGTTATCACATAACTCGTGAAACCTCTTTGCATCGAATCCATCACGACTTGCCCTATAAAGTAATTTAAACTTGTAGGGTAACTTTTTCATGGGCCTCACATCACATGAATAATAATTCTTCTTCTCCTTATCGATCCAACTCGCTAAATATGAAACCTTCTTTGGCGTTATCAAAAGGGAATTCAAAGGAAACCTAGGTGGTAATGATTCAATGTAATTAATCAAAGGGAATTCGTTTAAGAGGGTCGATTCGGAAGTCGTGGAAGTGGATCGATGAGCATTAAAGATCTCTCGGCAAAAATCTTTTGGCAAGATGTTCGAATAAGGAGCCACCTTATTCATGACATCATTCAGAGAGATATCCAACCACCTGATCAACGGAATGAAATCACTTAAAATCTCTTTCAAGATATCCGTTTCTTCTCTCGTCCAATTATTAATCGTTTTCAGGATAAACTGAGAGGAAGGCATTTGAGAGATACCCCATTTTAAAACATGATTCCAAATTTGTACCTCATCTTTGACATCAAGAAAATCCTGAATTAAGATTGATATCAAGATGGATTTGTCCAGCAGTAAAAAATCCGGGGAATTAAATAAAAATTTCACGGGGTCCTCACAGATGATTTCAATCGAATAATCTTTTAATGAGGAGAAGATTTCATTCTCATGACACGATAAGGTTTGAAGGAATTTTAATGGGTTACGACGTAAATGAAATGATTGATTTTCAATTAGATATTGTAAAATGTGTTGAATTAAGGTCGTTAATCCCAATTCGTCGGACATAATTAATATTTGTAAAATATCAGTCGTATCCTGATCTTTTAATTCGATTCTTCCTGTATAAAAGTATTTTAAAAGGATCTTAAATATTTTCGGTGAATAATTTTGTTTCTCGAAAACAATTATTCCACCTTCTTTGGGAACGTTTTCATCATTTGTTGAGACCTTTTGAAAATAAGGACATCTTGCATTTAAAATAAGGGAATGCGCCTTAAACTCTTTTTGAGACGTCCCTTCCCCGGTTCGAATAATGATATCATGCGTTTGAAGAGTACTTTCAAGTAACCTTCCAATGTCTCGAGAAAATTCTTTTAACATTTGCATTTTGTGTACGTTTAAACAAAACGAAGGAAATTATTAGATTAAATGATATATGATTTTATATTTGTAAAAAAAATTAGTTCTGATCTGGTTAAAATAATTATTTTGTGTAATGATTGTTTTTTTTAAAAAAAATAAAATAAATAAAAAATAAAATAGATTAAAAAAAATTAAAAAAAAGGAGTGAGAAGGGAAAGAGAAGGATGTTTAAAAAATATTTAAAAAAAGTTTAATAACTTTTGGCTTATTTAAAAAAAATAAAACAATACGTCAAACAAATTTTTTGATGTGAACAATATAATATCTCATATTTACCCGCCATTTAATCGCCTATTTTTTTTGCCTATTTTTCTTTTCTCATCCAAAATTGATCTAGAAACTCTCATTGTTGTCGACGAAACGCTTAATGATGTAATAGTATGACCCCAGGATTCTTTTTTTTTTTTGATGGTGATGCAAGGTTTATATGTATTTGTTTAAAAAGACGGCTATTGTTAAGATTTGGTGGACCTTGGAAAGTGGCGCGGCCGAGACTTATGCATTTAATGTTTGACGAATTATGTCGATCGGTACATTAAAGGCCGAGTTTACCCAAGAATGGAATGTGGCTTGGTACAGTACATATTCGTTCAAGTGGCAAATTGAAAACTTTTGAGTCGTCTCAACTCACTGCATGACGATGTATGATCTCATGATTTCAATGTCTCCTTCTTCTGGTATTCAATATTCCTCTTTCGAAAGCCCAATAAATCCGATTCGATTTTTATATCTAAAAATAATTAATACAATGAAATTGTTATTTTTAAACACTGCGAATAACGTTTGCTAATCATATGCTAATTATTACACTCTCCAGAAAAAATATCCATAATCGTATTCAAAAGTTCACATTGTTTATTTAATTATCTATGTATTTGTTTGTTTCCTTATTATGGTTAGCGGCGTCAATGAAATTTGTCACGATACCAATCGGAGTTTTCTGCGCCTTCGGTTCGTTAATTCGCAATCTCATTGGAGCAAGGTCACATTCAAGGTTAACTACCATTTTTGGTAGGTGTATCGTTTTAACAAATAGTCTTCGAGATTCGGAAAATACCATCAAACGATGGGGTGTTCTCCGTTACAAATTTGTAATTCTTCAAAATCAGGTGTGTGTGCGACCGAAAGTTCGTCTTCTTTTGGATTAAGATGAAATTAAAAATAAATAAAAGCTAGATTAAATGTGTTTTGATAACAACATCACCTTTAAAAGGAATTTCAAAACCATCCACATGCCATAAGGTTTACCAAAACAAAAAATTTCCTTCTTTTTATTTAACCTTTGATATCAATCAAATCAATCTCTCCTTCACATAGAAACTGCTTTTTTTACAACAAAAACAAATCCCTCCTATTATTATTGTATTTCCTAATCTTGCAATTTCGTGTTACGATTAATGTTTAATGTTTGCTTATTAATGAGCGACAAAAAAAAAATATTTAAAAAAAATT